TTTCCTCAAGTGTCCTTTCTAATACTCGATGGACACAAGCCTATTACTCTCCCAGTCCTGAGCTAGAGACTACATATGAACACCACCTATCTTCCCGTTCTGTAGCCGAAGGTCCCTAACTCAGGAATGACAAACTCTACACAATGTACAGACAGACACCGAGGCTTTAGACTCATCAAATAATACAGTCAAAAGAAAACCTTTCATTTGTGATCTGCTCATCTTTCCAATGTCCCAGATCTATCAAATCCATAGGCCATGAAAATGCTAGGTTTTCTTTGATTCATCTGCCCTGCAATTAACATAAAAACACAGGCAGCCCTTCCTACTATGGGACAACTGGAGACCTTATAAACCTGGGTAAGAAAGGCAAAGCAGCTTTAAAATACAACCGAGGAACTACTGTAATTCAGAAGTAAACCAATATCCTGAAATCAGTTTAACTTTTAATCCACCAAAACTTTCAGCTCTTGTCTAAAACCTGATTCCTCAACATCACCTACCACAGGACTGAACGAGGAACCAGGGCCAGGCCCAAGCTGGACTCACTGTGATCGTAACAATGACTACAAGTCACAGAGAACCTAGGAGCACAGTATGATTTAGGGAGCCAGCTGGATGATGAAGGGGAATATGACTAAGAGGAAGTGTCCAGCCAGCCAGGCAGAATCCACAGGAAACAAGCAGGTTACAAAGGGGCAAGCAGGTGGAGGGCTGGCAGGGCAAAAGCTTAAGCAGGCATAACTAGGCACAGGAAGCAGGGAACAGGCCTTGCTCCCACGACTGCATGCACTGGGCAGCCGCAGAAGGAGCAAAGGGAGCACAAAACAGAGCCCCAAGTGGGGCAGAGGGAGCTCTCACCATTAGCAAAAATCCTATGAAAGACTGTTGGGAACAGAGCAGCCCGTAAGCGGGAGGGAGGAAAACAGAGAAAAGTTGTGAGCGATGGAGCAGCCAAGCCCCAGACAAATGGTAACAACACACAGACACAGCACACAGAAATGTCACTGCACACAAATACACAGCAAATGAAAGCACTCACAGCAGGCAGTCTGGAACCTCTTTGGTAGGGTTTGGCCCAAATGGCACAAGTCACACCTCATCTCCATCTTGTCCTTTCCCAGCCTCCTTTCAATTTCTCTGTATTAGTCCAAGTTCTTCTCCATTTCACTAATTGGTCTCTCCCTATAAATTACCTCTACTAAAAGCCTATCTCTTATCACCAGCCCACACCTCAAAATTCACTGTTCTCCTCATGTCTTTGACCTTACCCCCATGGCTCCCAAATTCCCGAGGCTCCCCTGCCCAGAATCTCTCCCTCCCCTCACCAGAGCCAATCTTGATGAGTCCGTTGTGCTGGATGAAGATGGTGTCACAGGTCAGGTTCCCATGGATGATGGGAGGGTCACAGGAGTGCAGGTAGCTGTGGGGGCACTGGGCTGTTAGAGGGGCCACTAGGAAATTAAGGGCAGGGGGAACCCAAGGGTTAAGAGGAGCAAGGGCCAGGTCTCGTCCTGGTCATAATGATAATCCCTGTATTCTGAATCTATTGTGCCAGGTAACTTAAATAGGATAAGCACAAGGAGAATGAGGGGGGGTCACTCTAGTGGTTAGAACATTAGGAGGACCCCATAAGTGGGGCTAATCTTGTCAGCACATGACTCAAAGAAACTGGGGAGAGGCAGACTAGAAAAGCAAGAGTAGTGCCTTGCAGTCTGTTTGAGGATATTTCCTTAAATCAGGAGACTGGGGAAAAACTAACCAGATATTACTTACCTTAGGGCAGATAGGATCTGTGTGCACCAGCGTTTCCAAGCCTAGAAAAGAGTTTGGTCTAAGATCAGCAGTAATACTCTCTCTGTCTCCCCCTTCTTTCTCCCCTCTCCACCACCCTCCTTCTCCAGGGTCTCACTATACCACCCTAGTTGTCCTGAAACTATATAGATTATACTGGCCTCCCGAACTAAAGGCATGTGCCACCACACCTAGTAATACTTTCCTGTTTCAGTCTTTCCACTAACCTTTGCCATCCCTCCCTAACTGGCTTCATAATTACCCCACCTTTTTAAAATCCCTACACTAGCCTAAAACTATGTCCAGCCTCTCTCCATACCTTTTCATTCATAGTCTTGTGGTTCTTTTTGGTCTTCTTCAGAAACTGCTTAAGGCTTCCAGATGACATGTATTCTGTGATGAAAATCACCTAGGAAGTGAAGTACTTCCTATTAAGGCTTCAATCTAGACATTATCTCTCACTTGGTGACATTTACACCAGATACATAGTAAACTGTGCTTGTTCAACTGTGTTTGTTCAACTTTCCTTTTCTTTAGTATCTCCTCCTTAGGCTTAACAGCACATTGAAAATACAGAAGCAAGCAAATGTTCAGTTCACTTATGTCTCCCCATCTTTAGCTGGAAAATGCTATAGATAGCAGATGAAGCTCTCTTCTCCTTACCACAACTGTGTATTTCAGTTCTTGTCTCAAAATTACCTCATTTCAACCTCTGAATGTAAAATGGACAGTAAATGCAGCTGCTTTCTGGAAAGGAGTTCAGAAAATACTAGGCAAAAATCTTACCCTGGCCTTATTCTCTTTAACATCAGCCCAATACTTGTGAAATTTAACGATGTTAAGATGTTCCAACTGAATCAGATTATCAAACACTGCACGGACCTTTTCCTGGGGCAAGAGAGACAGAGATAACAGTTCACAAATCACTGTAGTATATAAAAGCCATACCCCTCCCCACACATGATCTAACCACGAAGGCTCTCCTCACAGTCACTTTGCCAACAACAATAGCTGTTTAAATACTGGTTCCAATGCCCCCAGGCCTCATTACCTACCTCCTGCAGTTTGTAGTTCTTGCGTTCAGAGAACTGTACCTCATTCCACACAACCTCCACACCTTCCTCTGTATCCATGGCCAGGTATGCACTGTCAATACCTGGTACATTACGCTGATTCACCTGAGAAGCAATTCAAGTGGAATTAAGTCACTTCACCAACTCGCCATTCTAGTATTCCACAGTCATCTTCCAACTCCGCCCTACTCAAGTCTGGTCTGCTCCTTTGGACAGCTACTCTAGTTCTTACTGTTTACAACATACTCTCCCAAGAACACCATCACCATCGCCTTACCTCTTCTCTTCTCTTCTGCCAGCGCCCACAGGGTGACTCTTCCAAGATCTCAGACTCATCTTCACTTTCTTCTTCCTCCTCAGGGGAAGCAGCTGAAGTTGTAGAGGTCACAGGAGGTGACACTGAAGTCAGGCCAGGAGCTGAAGAGGAGGATTCTACCTTTGGGTCTGAGCCACTGCTGACTACTGTTTGGGATTCCCCTTCCGACATGCTGGAATGAACGAACACTCAGCCTGCATTGGTTAGACAAAGACAGGAGAAGACAGGTCAAAAACAGATCTTTAAAATGAAATAGTCTTAATTAACTTCATCTTCAGATTCAAAAATAATCTCCCTTGTTTCCTTTAAATGTAAAATCAGAATTACTCCTACCTAAATACTGAAGTGTGACTGAATCTCCTGATTCTGGAGGAGTTACCTTAGCAGAAGACCACCCAGAAGTACCAAACACAAGGCTAATGACAATATACCCCATTTTGGTCAAACCCAAATACACAATAAGATGTGGTTCCCCATTCCTTCTGCAAATAGTGATGCAATGACTCTAGTTCCCATCGACTCTCTATGTGCTTCATTCAGTTCTCAGGGTGCTCAAAAACTAGGGTATAGACGACTCAGAGCAGATGACTCTAAACGGCTTTACCGAGCCGCCCTGTGGACAGGCCTACACCACCCTTAGCCCACTAGCTGAGATGACCAATTGATTTATCCTTCTAGGACCAACAGTAATATTACCCATCCTTCCACAGATTGAAGCTGCCTTTGTGCGAGGTGACTGGCAGGAGTAACTTCCATCCCTAATGGCCTCACCTTCCTGTGAGGTGACTGTGGCAAATGGGTATTACTTAACAGCATTTTTTTTTCATTTACTCACTGGAATGTTTAGTTAACATTTGTAGGTTATTGTAGGTCACACACTGGGTGGGTGCTTGAGATACATCAGTGAATTAAAATAAATGAAATGCCTGCACTTAATTAGCACAAATTGGAAAAAAAAAATCAAAGACCTTAAGTCTCCAGCTTCCCTTGTATTCACACTGATCAATGGCTCTGACTTTTCCACTCTCTAAAGCATCTAATAATGGTTATTCCTTCAGGTACAAATAATTCAAGCTATAGCTGTCATAGGAAAAGTGTTAAACCATAACATTTCTACAGGGGTAGAGTTGCTTGATGAAAAACCTAAATTTTTCATTAACCCACGAAAAAAAAAAAAAAGACAACCAATCAAACAAAAGCTGTAAAGGAACTATAACCTGTGTGTGCTTAAGCTCAAGGGTATACTGTCTAGTAAGAAGGTGATACCATGAAAGTAAACTTGCACTCCAAAGTCAGCTCAGAATACCAGAAACCTGCAATCAATACCAATCCGACCATACACTTCTCTCTGATGCTTCTTTCTGCTCATTTCTCCCCAATCTATACTGTTTAAACAACGCTCTAGTAAACTCAAAGAACACAGGAAAAATATCTAGTAGGATATTTCCCCGATTTCATTTTCTAAGAAAAGCCCTTGCCTACCCTAGAAATTCTCCTCAGTCTGTCAAGTAAGCTATGTGCTTGTCTTAGTAATCTAACAGAAAAGATGAGTTCGGCTGAGAAAACAGTAGTCTGTTTCAAATAGTTCCTAGAGCAGTTACATTCACTCGATGTGCCTAAAATCTGAACTGCTAAATTAAATTCCTAGCGAGATTACAACTAAAGATAGAATGTCAATAGAGTAAGCTGCAGCCTATGGAATCTGAAACTACTGGTCCAAGGACACAGACAGCAGCCGCTTCACAGTTAGGTCAACTCGAAGAGAAGACAGTCATCAGAACCGGAAGGTACACACTTTGTGTCTTCCCTCCCTGGACATGTCCCAGGAGGTAAAATGAGAGCAGTGTCTAAAGATCTCCAAACACTCCCACTATGGAAGCAGAAACTTCTGCAACACTTGGGGTTCTGCCTCAGGGCTGCTGGCAGGTTAAACAGGGATCACACATTTACATGGGTAAGGGCCAACTCCTCAAAGCCTCTAGCTACCCTGAGGGCGCACAGTACATTCACTGCAGGGCATTGTCTGTCATCTTGCAAAGTTGTTCTCCCGGCTTCCATTATTAGTTGAGAGCCCAGTGCGCGTCACTCCCCCCCCCCCGGACCCCCGAGGTCGCAGCCACAGGACGCTCTGAGGAAACCCAAAAAGCCTCTCGGGTCGGCAAAACTGCACAGACAGGAAGCAAGATCGGGGGAACGAGGTCTTCAGCATCTCCACACTCCAACAGGTCGCCAGGCCAGAATCGGGAAGGAAGCGGCGGCGGTCACAGTGTCCCATCAGACCGGCGTCTGAGCACCACAGCCACCTCATCAAAGGCCGGCCCTGCCGCGCCGTCAGGCCGCAGACCACGCCCCCGCGCTCGGCGCGCCGCCCCGCGAGCAGGCCGGGCCGGGACGCCGCGCTTCCTTCCGCAGGCCCTCCGGCCCGGGCCCCCGCCCCGCCCCCGCCCGCGCCGCCTGCCCCGCCTCTCGCGGCCAGAGTTCCAAGAGAACGCCGGGGGCCCCCGACCCGCGCCCGCAGAATTCCGGGCCGCCGCGGCCACGCCGAAGACACCAGGAGGGCGGGCGGCGCCCTGGGGCCAAGGTGGCCCCTCAGCTGCGATGGGCCGGGCCGGGTCGGGCCTGACTCCCGAGGTAGCAGGGCCGCCCGACAGCACCCGCCGGCCGCGGCCGCCAGCCGCTCGGGGCGATCCTGCCGTCCTTCCGCGAGCCCCTCCCTCCAAGGCCTCCTTCTCCGGCGCTCACCTCCCGACTCCGCGCCCGCAGCCTGTGCTTCAGCTCCAGCTCGGGTTCCGGGGCCTCGGATCGCAGCGACTCCCTCACAGCTGCGCTCCGCAGCGCAACCGAACTGCGGGCCCCGCCCTCGCGGCGTCCGGACCAACAGATGGGCGGTGCCGCAGCGCCGCCAGGTTTCCATTGGACAGGGCGGCGGGGGGCGGTTCCCGCAGACGGGCGCTCTCAGGGCAGCCTCCTGCCGGGTCTCCTCCCCTGGCGGGGCTCCGGCGGACAGCTTGCCAGCGTTGTCTTCTTCGTCTCGTTGTCCACCCTCCTCCCAGTCGAGGTGCCCCAAGTAATTCTGCCGGACGAAAGTAAGGCCTTCTCCCTCTTCTCCAAAGCGCCATGACAGTCCTAATCCTCCGAAAAGACAAAAGGAACGAGAGGCTCAGCCTCAACCCAAGAGACAGCACACCCACATTTCCCATTTGGGAAGGAGACAGTGCTCTGGGCACCAGTTTTTCAGAAAGCTTTTTGTTGCTGTTGCTTAATATGAGAATTAGTAGTTGCAGATTTGTGTAACACTATTTACCCAAATACACCTAATTTGAACCTCATAAAGACGAACTGAAATTATCCAGTGATAGTTGACGATTGTGAAGACGAAACAACAAAAAAAGTTACCCATATTTAAGTTGATGTAAACCCAATTAAGAATCCCAAGTGAGAAGATTCATCAAAACTGTCCTTAAAGAGGTGTTTGGAAAGAACTTAGATTGGCTGCGAGTTAGTGTAAAGAAACTACAACAGACTCTGGGTAAGCCATTTATCTTGGAAGACTAAATCTAAGGAACGGAAATTCATTTTGCCTTTATACATCTATTATCAGGGGAGAAGGATGAATCTGATCTGAGAATGTCATAACCACCAATTTCACCGGCCTTAAACGGACTAATTAATCCTACTCACGGGTTCAGAAAGAAATCCTGTAGAAACTCATTTTCTCGTCTCTTCACTTTAAAAGAATGGTTTTACAAACTAAATTTAATCCAGGCGGTGGTGGTGCACGCTTTTGATCCCTGCACCTGGGAGGCAGAGGTAGGTGGATCTCTGTGGGTTCAAGGCTAGCCTGATCTACAGAGTGAGTGCTAGGACATCCAGAGCTGTTACACAGAGAAATCCTGACTGAAACAAAACTCTTAAATTTTCTCTGGGCGTTGGTGTGGTCCTCCAAAACATCTAGAGCTACAAGGAGAAACCCTGTCTCGAAAAAAACAAACAAAAACAAAATCGAACTAAAATCAAAACACCCAAAGTTTCAACGGGCCTGTCAGGTAGATCTCTGAGTCTGAGGCCAAACAGGGCCACACAGTGAGACCCCGAATCAAAAATAATTTTTTTTTCATCCAGCATAGTGGTGCATACCTCTAATCCCATCATTCAGTAGGCTAATGTTATAAATTCAAGGTCAGTCAGAGCAATAGTGAGACTCTCTCAAAATAAAACAAATAGAATTCTGATGTGTCTTAGCAAGCCATTTGGATTAAGAGTCGCATGTACCTAAAGTGTAGATTACACATTTGGAAGTTTGTTTCAGTCTCGGAGATGAATGCTCATCCTCTTCAGATTAACCTTTCCTCCTTGTGGGCACCAAGGCAATTGCAACTCCTGAACCGTGGCGAACATTCATTAAATACCTGTTCATGCTACTTTAGTTCCCTGTTACTTTCTGTCAGCACTATCAACCTTTGCATTTCAACTAGCTATTTCAAATATGCATAGAGGAGGCTTTGGCAACCTCATTTTCAATCATTCTCTCATTCATATTTAAAGTGGTCATCTGCTGCCTACATTTTTACCACTTCATTTATGTTTCCTGCTTACAAAAGTAATAATACATCATGCTTACAAAAGTAATAAATGCTTATTGTAAAACTCAGGAATTGACGTGGAGAATGGGCCCAGCAGTCAGCACTTTCTGCTCTTGCAGATAACCCTAGTTTTGTTGCCAGCACCTACATGGCAATTGTAACTTCGGGTCAAGAAAATCTGGTGCCCTTTTTTGGCCTCCATGGGTACCAGGCATGCATGTGCACACACCTATACATAGGTAATCATGAACATAAAAATAAATCTTTTGACCCAGGCATGGTGGCTCAAGCCTTTAATCCCAGCACTCAGGAGGCAAAGACAAGTGGATCTCTGTGAGTTCAAGCCCAGTCTGGTTTACAGAGTGAGTGTCAGGACAGGCTCCAAAGCTACCCAGGAAACCCTGTCTCGACAACAACAAAACAAAAAAAGAAAAGAATAGAAAAAAAAAAAGAAAGGAAGGAAGGGAGGAAAGGAGAAAGAAAGAAAGAAGGTGCCTGATGTCTGGGTAATACGCTGTTTATATATTTGAATTTATAAAATGGAATGGGGCTCACTAGTAAAATGCATACCTAACATGTGTAAGACTGTGTTTGATCCATATCATGAAAAAAAATGTTGCAGGGGAGAAAAAAATTGAAGTGGAGAAAGAACTAGTTAACAAATGAAAACTTTACTGTGTGAGAGAAAAGCTTTACCTAGCATGCTCAAGACCCTGAGTTCAAAGCCAGATAGTGGTGGCACATGCCTGTAATCCCAGCACTTGGGAGGTAGTGGCAGGTGGATCTCAGTGACTTTGAGGCCAGCCTGGTCTACAGAGAGAGGTCCAGGACAGTCAGAGCTGTTACACAGAGAAATAGACCCTGGGTTCAATTCCCAGCACAAAACTTTATGTGTACAACACATTAGTTTGTTTCCTCGTTCTTTTTTAGACAGAGTTTCACCATGTAGTCTTAACTTGCCTGGTAGTCACTATGTAGACCAGGCTGATCTGGGACACTCAGTGATCTTCCTGCTTATTCCTCCCAAGAGCTAGGATGAAAGATGTCACCATGCCACGGCAGGGCTTAAACTTACCATTATCACACCTCAGTCTCCCAAGTGCTGGCCTAATAACCAACTCCAGCTTCAACTTGATGTTTTGATATATGTATGTATTGATAACCACAATCAACTATATAGCTCATTTATTACTTTACACCGTTACTGTTTGTGTGTTGATATATTATTTATGATTTATTAAAGCTTGGCTGAGGATTCAGAAAGCAAAGTCAGCCACAAACCATAGAAGCCAGGTACACACCTTAAATCCCAGTACTCAAGATTAAGAAGTAGACAGATCTCTGTTAGTTCAAGGCCACACTGACTATGCAAAATTGATCCAGTGCTAAGAGAATCAGCACACACATGGATCTCAGCACATGATATCACATGCCTTTAGTCCCAGCACTTGGGAAGGTATTCAGTAAACTCGGTCTCAGCATTCATTTTCCAGCCACTTTGGGGATAGGAAGACATTGAAGTCTCTAGCCACACTGAGGAGGGCATAGCAGTCTGAGTGAATCTGAGGAGCAGTGAAGTTGGAAGTGGTTTGAGGGTCACCCCTTTGGTATGAGCTGAGAGAGAAGTAAGAGCTAGTGGCTGACTGCTTTGCTTTTCTGATTGTCAGCTTGAAGCTTGAATCCCAATATCTGTCTCTGGTCATTTATTTTTCATGCTACAGTGTGTATATGGGGGGGGGGGAAAGGAATGAGAGAAAGAATAGAAGTAGGGGGGCAGAGAGGATCTTGGAAGAGTTGAGGGAGGGGAAAGAATGTGATCAAAATATATAAAATTTTTTAAATAACCAAAAATGACAAAAGAAAACATAATGTGACGCAAAAACAGTCATATTGAAGTTGGACAGAGCAACCTAACAATAGGAAAAGAGCCCCAAGAGCAGGCACAAAAGTCAGACCCAGCCAGGAATTGGTGGTGCATGCCTTTAATCCCAGCATTCGGGAGGCAGATGCAGGTGGATCTCTGTGAGTTTGAGGCCAGCCTGGTCTACAGAGTGAGTTCCAGGACAGGCTCCAAAGCAATATAGATACCCTGTCTTGAAAAACCAAAGATTAATTAATTAACTAACTAATTAATGAGTCAGAGACCCACTCATTATCAGTTAGGAGTCCCAATAAAAACTCTAAGCTAATACCTTAATATGTACACAGAGGACCTGGTGCAGACCCATGCAGGCCCTGTTCTTGCTGCTTCAGTTTCTGTGAGCTCATGCACACCCTGCTTAGCTGATTCAGAGGACCTTGTTCTGGTGTCCTCCTTCCCTTTTGGCTCTTACAACCACCCCAGGATTCCCTGAATTCCAAAGGGAGGGATTTCATGGAGATCTCCCATTTAGACTCTCTCTGCTACCCATCTGCTGCCAGATGAAACCTCTCTCTCTCTCTCTCTCTCTCTCTCTCTCTCTCTCTCTCTGTGTGTGTGTGTGTGTGTGTTTGTTTTTGTTTTTTTAATTTTTTTCTTCTTTTACATGTCGACCCCAGATGAAGTCTCTCTGATGATGGCTGGATCTATGAGTATAGAAGAATATCTTTAGGAGTAGGAGTAATTGTAATTTTACTGATACTTTTTTTTTTTTTTTGACCAGTAGTGTTTGGTTTTACTCTAGGACTCTGAGCTATCTAGTCTGTGGTTCTTTGTTTTGTTTTTTCATCTATCTATCTATCTATCTATCTATCTATCTATCTATCTATCTTGGGCTTTTGAGACAGGGTTTCTCTGTGTAACAATCCTGACTGGCTTCGAACTCATCTGCCTCTGGCTCTCAAGTGCTGGGATTAAGGGCAAGTGCCACTACTGCCTGGCCTCTGTTTTCTTTTTATCAAGACAGTGTTTCTCTGTGTATCCCCTGGCTGTCCTAGAACTCTGGAACTCACTTTGTTGATGAGGTTGGCCTCGAACTTAGAGATTAGTATGCCTCTGCCTTTCTGTTCTGGGTTTAAAGGAGTGTGTCACCATGCTTGGGAAGTCTCTGTTCTTGGTTACCCAAGCAGTGTTGGGTGTGGGTTCTTTCTGGTGGAATAGGCTTGGGTCAAATCAGACATTGGTTGGCCACTCCCACCATTGCTCTAGCATATTTTGCAGGCAGGACACATTGTAGGTCAAAGGTTTTGTACCTGGGTTGATGTCCACATTCTCTACGGAGTACCTCCCCACACTAAAGAGACTAGAATGTAGGGGTGAAGGTTCCATGTAGGTACCTGTTCAACTTCTCTGTGTGCAATGAGTTGTGTGGGTGTTGTCTTCAATAATGGGGCTCCACTGTCAGTTTGCAGAGACCAACCCTTTGACTTAGCAACAGCCTGGGTTGTTTGGGGATTTCCATTGGACCCCCTAGGCCAAAAACTCAAATGAATGCAACCCAGTCCTGCTACTGGAAGCCTTGCATGTCAACAAAAGATGGCTAGTTGAGTCTCTGTGTCCCTTATTATTAGGAGTCCTCATTAGTATCACCTTCATAGTGTCCAGGCAGTTTCCCCTGAACCAGGTTTCCACACTGCCCCCGAAAAACCCTCAGTTCCAGCCATCTCCACCTGCACTCCCTCCCTCTACCTCATCTATCCCCAACCTGATCCACCTCCCATGCCCACCAGCTCCCAGTCTACCCATAAAAATCTATTCTGTTTTCCCCCTTTCAGGGAGATCCATGTATTCCTCCCTAGACCCCTCCTCTTTACCTCTCTGGGTCTATGGATTGAAGCTTTGTTGTCATTTACTTAAAAGCTAATATTCACTTATAAGTGAATACATACCATATTTGTCTCTCTAGGTCTGGGTTAGCTCACTCAGGATGACTTTTTTCTAGTTCCATCCATTTGCCTGCAAATTTTGTGATGTCATTTTTTTTAACAGCTGAGCAATAAATACTCCATTGTGTAAATGTACCACATTTTCTTTATCCATTCTTCTGTTGAGTGACTTCTAGATTGTTTGCAGTTTCTGACTATAATGATAAAGCCACAATAAATATGGCTGAGCAAGTGTCCTTGTGTTAGGATGGAGTGTCCTTTGGGTATATGCCCAAGAATGGTATAGCTG